GCTGCTTTCACTGTCTGTGAAACTTGAGAAAGAACAGTGGAGAGGTTCGGACAATAAAACAACATTTCATCATTTAAAAAGAGGCGGATGGGAGGGCCCTGGTTACAGGTCCCTCTCCCAGGTTGGACATCTGCTGACCAATTTCAAAAGAGGCAAAGATTAACACGCGTCCTATTCGTCATTCATAGCCATTTAGCAGATTTAGCTTCCTCGTGCCAATGTGTTCGCAGCTGCATTCCAAACCTTTTCAATTCCGTTAGTATTTTATTCACAAATTGTAGGCCAATGTCTTTTAAAAGCCTCATCTGGAATTGATCTGTCGGCAGAGCTATTGTCTCTGCCTGACATTTTGATGTGTTTGGCAGGAAAACTGCTGAATACTGTAACAAGTGCATATCTGTCACTTCAGCTGGTTTGAGCTCAGTAAAACCCAATTTTGAAAATGTTCAGAATAGTTCTTTTCACGTCCCATCCAAGAGGCTTCTTCAATTCTAACTGACGGTGGGGAGCACTGAGAATAATATACTGTGGGAGTAACAAAAGAATTAGGGAAAAAACAAAAGGTGACTCTAGTTCCTCTTGCTGGATGGACATGACCTGGATTACTGTGAATCTTAACAGATAAAACCCAATTTGAAATGTTTGAAAGGTCCTGTAATTGTGAGTGAACTTTTACCAGCCAAACATGCACAGAGTATTTCTGTGCACTAAAATATTTTATAATACGTTGAGCTTTGTATGCATTCAAGATTAATGTAACTTTCCCTCTTTTTGACACGTGGTCCAACCCATGTGTCGACCTAGCCCAATATGGGAGTAAAGCTTTAGGAAAACAGTGCAGGCCATCAGATCCCAGCTGAACACTTTTGGCATGTGTTCCCCCTGTAGAGATCCAAACTTGTTCCTCCTCAGCGGAGGTAAAGGTCTGCATGCCCTGTAAATCAGTGTGAAGAAAAGGGGAAGTGGAGACAGGGAGCAGCAGTGCAGCATGTGTAGTGCAGCATTCACGTGTGATATCAGAAGCACGAGGTCATCAGTGTGAGCAGCACACTCACACACAGGGATGTTCACAGGCCAGAGAACTGCTGTGAGCAACACTGTCATCTGAGAAGCATGCAAAGTTATTATTCCAACAGATCTGACAAAAAAAACACCAACAAGGAAACAACGTGTGTGTTTCCACTCTGCATCAGAGTCATGAACATAGCAGAACGGTTTACAGAGAATGAGCAGACAGCAAAAGCAAACAATGAGTGTCTGCAGCAGGATCACGTGATGCTGATCCACCTGAAAAGAACCAGAGGTGTGTCAGACACATCTGGGCTTAAAGTGCACAGCTGCTCCAGAACTGCAGCTCAGTCATGTGACCATGGTCCATCAGCTGTGTGGACAAGAGTTAAGAAGATGAGCAAAACTACCAGTGACATTCAGCAGGTCAAAACCCACAGAAATGTTTATGTGAGCAGAAAGGAATGAAGGTTTCTGCTCCAGGAGAATGATAAGAACAGATACCAGGTCACAAGCAAACCAGTGTAGCCCAAAGTGTAATGTGTGTGTGACTTGTTTATGAATGTTCAGAACCGCAAAACAGTGTTGCTGCAAGGAACTTTCACAAGAACCAAAAAAATCGATCCTGAAATGAACAAAGTTTGAACAAGCTGGCACACATTACGTGTTTGAGCAACAACCCCTCTGTGTCTTCCACATTGCTTTCTGGACGGCATGCAAAAGAGAAGGTCCTTCACAAAAGAACAGACTCAGATGGAAAGGGCCAGGACTCTCAGGCCTGAGATTCTTTCTGAGCAACTAGTACAAAAGCTGCATGAATGTCCCAAAGCGAGCCTAAAATTCAAAATCAGCTTCAATTGTTCATTTAATTGAACGTAAATAGAGGACAAAAAGAGATTGATATATGTGTATCTGATAGGGCGCTGGTTTGGCTCAGGGTTATAGTTGAAGTTTCCGTGTCCTCGGCTGGTTGATTTAGACAAAACTCCACTTGTCTAGTTGACCTTTGTCCCTCATCCTTTTAACAGGAAAGAGGGGTGTGCACACAATGAGTTTACACAACAGGGCCAAATAAAAAAACCCTGCAGCAGCTTTCTTTATTTGTGCCAGCTCTTTTACTTTAGTTCAACATTCTCAATTCTGATGGTCATTTTTCTACAGTTAATAGTCAGATTCAGGGGTGATAATTACTGATTCACCTCCATCATCACGTTCATCTTTATTCTAAATTCAGAGATCTCAGCCTATTAGATTAAAGCAACAGATCTGTTTCAGGTTAAAACAAACAAACACAAAACAACAACAGGACAAACAGAACATGCTTCCTTATGGGATTCTATGGTGGGAACTAATTCCACAGTTCTTTGACTTAAATACGTTTTGTCCTTAATTCTTATTACGCTGACAGCCATAAAACATTCATTTGAAATTTCCAGAAACTATAGCCCAATTAGTTTCTTTCCTGCAGGTAGTTTTAAATTCACAATAATTTAGGTAACACCATGTGGAGTTACACATATGATGGATCATTTTCTCATTCAATAAAGCAGCCTTTTCATCAACAGAATTTCAACTCAACTTAGGATGCGCAAAAAAACTTTTTTCCCTCCTAATTTTTTTTTTCCTTTGCAATCCCCTTTTTTGTTATTTTTCGAGACAACAATGCTCCAAATCACTCAAAAGTTAACCAATAGCTTCACATTTTTATCTTGTTTACCCAAATTATCCATTGAACTGAGAAATATTTCCCTGTCATCTGAAGTAGACACTTTTCAAATCTTTCC